GATCAATACTGGGAATGCTGGGCCACACTTCATCAGGCACTGAATGCCCATTTCGGATGCTCCTTCTTCGATCGAGTTGTCGCTTCCGGCACCGGCATAGACAGCGATAGGTTCGAAATCTGCGCGTCTTCGGTGGCATTGCCCACCTTCCACCTCAGCTTCCTCACCGGCATCGAGGCTTTCGGCCGCGAAGATAACCGCCTCTTGCGCACTTTGCGTGACTTGATCATGCTCCCTTTTCTGTCACAAGCCACCACTGTGGCCGCTCTGGATATAGGTCTTTTCGAATCCTCGCTCTACGAGCCCGATAGCGCCGTAGACGATGACACACGAGTCAATCCGTTCACCTCCGCGCGAGAAGCAATCGCCACTCGTTCTGCTGTGGATGATCTCGTACACGGCCTGATACGACAACCAAACGGACCACTACTTCCGGAGGTGCAAACCATCGAATTTCGTCAGGCTCTATTCTGCAGAAGTGATCTCCACGCCGTCGAGCCGTTGTTCGCCACCCTGATCGGCGCATTAGCGGTCCGCGAGCGCCTTGCCTCGGCGCAGGCTGTGACTAAGATTGAATTCAAGCAGTGTGGGTTGACCGAAGAGGCCGCGGGCATCTTGGTCGAGGTGGTGCAAGCGGAGGTATTCTGGGACGAGCACTGCCTCTCTTCACAGGAACTCGCGGCAATGAAGGACGGACATTCGGACTTATGGGAAGAAAGTATCCTACTCACGATTACCGATAACGCCGATGTACCGTATTGAACGTGATAGAGATTCACCACGCACATCATCCTATCGTAGCTTATAGTATATCATGGCTTGTTCTACTCACTTGTGCCAGTCGGAGAGTTGCCACCAGCGCGCGCGGGACCGGATGCCTGCGCAGTCATAGAGCGCCGAACCAATCCGCACTGACGCGACCCAAATTACCCCGTTTAAATCTCGTTTCCGACCACCACCACGCGCGGCGGCGTTGATCTCATCGATCCTCTGTACACGGAAGAGACTGCGAGCTCCTGGGTACGACTCGAGTGTGTTATTCCACAAGTCAACCAGGCAAGCGGACGTCTGCACCATTTGGCCGCGGCTGCGCGAGCGCCGCCGGCGATCTCCGTCAATTTGCTCCGTGAGCTCACACAAGCTCGTTACATATTCAAGCAAACATTGACTCGCGATCACAGCACATAATTCCCCAGCGGTCGCGCGGGAGGCCTACAATCCTACGCAACGTGCAAGAATGAACGTGGCGTTGCCTGTCGAGATCCTGACTACTATCCTTGTGGACTGCATAGTCGACCATCCAGATTACACCGCTGCTCCACATCGGGCGACTTACACTTATCTGGCCGACATCTCACTCGCCATATCGCATGCCTGCCGCCTATGGAGAAATATAGCCCTTAGTCCTGGCGGAAGGCGTTTGTGGGCCCATGCCCCGTTACGGCACAAGCCTGCATGTGTCGATGCGTTCATGCAACGCTCGCACCCTCTCCCTGTCCTCCTCAAATTTGAGGCAATCCTGATCGATGACTTCGATCCCATGAAATCATATCTTCCCGCAGTGTTTAAGGCACTTGAGTACCGTACGAGAGTCGGCTCTCTGCTCCTACGCTTGATCGTCGACGAATACTCTGACTACCCTGACGAACACAAGCAAGAGTACTACGACGCCTGCGCCACAATGTCAAATATTCTTGACGAACATACTTTCCCAACGCTGGAATACTTGTCATGGAGGTCTTTTATCAAGGAAGACGGGGAGGAGATCTCGGGAAACGTGTTCACATCGGACGTTCCGCGCTCACTGAGAAGACTCGACCTCGCCACCATCACTACCACGTCTCGCAATCCCATTCTACGAGCACCATTGACTTCTCTTGTTCTCGAACGGTGCGGGTGCTGGCTCGGAGTCGATGACTTCATCTCCACTCTTCACAACATGCCATTGCTCGAGACGCTGGCAATCTCTTCAGAAGGTGGACCCGAAACTTTCGAAGAGTTAGAGAGCTCTACTCGTCACCAACGCCGCTCCGTAACTCTACCCCGCCTGTCACGGCTCGCACTACACGATACACTCGAAAATACCGTTCTGTTGTTTGCCTACCTACACGTGCCTGTAACGTGTCGCATCGACATGGCCCCATCGTACGATCATTATCGACCCATCGAGGATTCACGTCAATACTGGGAACACTGGAGCGTCTTACGAACGGCGCTGCGCGCGCATTTCGAACCCTTCGCCTTTGAAAGAATCGTCGTCAGCGGCATTGGAGACAGAAGTGACAGGTTCCTGATATCTGCCTCGTCAGCAACGCTGCCCACGATGGATCTCAACTTCGTCTGCCATCCTGAAGAGTTCTGTCTCACGGACATGCACCTTCTACGGACGCTTCGCGATCTGCTGTTGCTTCCATTCCTATCAAGAGCATCAACCATCGTCGCGCAAGACATACGGGTGCTCCAGCCGTTGCTTTACCAATTCTCCGATCATGATGAAGGCCAATCAATTGCCAGTCCCTTCTCGGCTGTGCGCAATGCGATAGTCGCTGATGCCGCAACCGATGACATTGGACGCGCTCTCTCCGATCCGTCTTTGCTCCCTGCGTTGCAGACCATCGAGGTTCGCCAGATGTTGGTTGACGACGGAAGGGACACAGAAAGCTCACAGTGGAAGTTCGGCGCCCTTCTTCGCGGACTCTGGGCTCGAGGGCGTCTGGACTCCGTGCAAGCTATACAAACCGTGAACCTACGACACTGCGCTGTGGTGAAGGAGGCAGTGGACGCTCTGGCCGCGTCTGTTCACGCTAGAATCTCGTGGGATGGGCTCTGCGTGTACCCAGACCGCAACGTGTCGAAGAAGATCGCTCGTTTGGATGACCAGGCGGAGCATGTTGGTATCCTTGCGCAGATCCTTGACAGGTAGGATCTCGCCAATGTTCCCTCATTCGCGATATCACCGTACCACTATAGATGCTCATGCATATTTTCCGCTCTTCTGGACTGAGAAGCTCCATATATCGTATATCACCTTCTGACTTTCAGTTACGAGTAACGGAGGCTTGCATGATGATTGCAGGAAATGTACATACGCATGCCTCTCATATGTACGACATTTAATTCATTGCATACAACGGGTGCGACCGACTTCGAATGCCCGATGGCATGATTGCATGATGCTCGCTCGTGTGAACAAGGGGAGAGTATGTCAGACACTTGGAACCGCTCAGCATGTAGCTCAGAATATGACATCCGCATCCTTGTCGTTCAGCAGATCACCGGTTCCCTCGCTGGGCTCCTCATCGATGACGCTCGGAGGTGCCGTAGTCTTTCCTTCTGCCTCCCCAAACTCCGCAGTGGCTGCAGCGGCCAGGTCCGCCTTCCGCTTGTTCTCCGCAGCCTCGGTATCCCTCTTCTTCTTTCCCTGCACTTTCTTTAACCTATCCATATGATCAGCCAAACGGACAAGGTGTTATACTCGACATGACGTACCTGAAGAACTCTTCACGATCCATCTCGTCCAGCTCACTCATGATGTACTTGATGGTGTTGTCCAACCGCGGGATGACGACGTGTTCAATGGCGTTCACACGTCGGTTCGTGGCGCGAATAACCTCGTCGAGTATCATGAACGCGGTCTGCAACGACGCAAGCTCGACAAGCGTCTCGACCGCCTTAGCATAGACCTCCTTTGAGCGCAGCACTTGCTGTCCTCCTCGTCCAAGACCGGTCAAGTTGAAGTCTTAAGCGCGCAGGCGATCAGAATCCGCATGTCAACCGGATATGGTATACGACACACCAGATCCTTGTACACGATCGACTTCGAATGTGGGTAGTACAACACCAGATACGTTCTCCTGCTTTGCCTTGACACGGAATGTTGCCTGTTTGGCTTGTTCCTGGACCAGATAGGATATATCGCCCGTCGCGTACGTCACTTCGGCGAGTGAGAACGACGCAAGTTGCATTACACGGCCCATCTTGCGCTTTGCCTATGCTCGAGTACTCAGTTAGCGTGTATCCGGCGAGAGTAGTGATACTAGCATACCTCATCGACCTTGCGCAAAATAGCACGGAAACGGGTCGTGAGAGCATCGCGCTTCTTGGCCAGTAACGAGTGTCCAGTCTGTGCGCCCTTCAACCGCAACTTGGTGTTCGTGAGCGCCATGCGCGTGGGGAAGATATTCTCGCGAGGACCGGTTCCAGACATGATTCGTCACACAGAAAGGATGAGATGTAGAGCGATAAGTGGGTATTGGGCTACTGCGATATGCAGCGCGGGATGACGGCGGGACGCAACAAGCCAGAAGTGGCGGCGGCGGCCCGACAGAGCCGAGCCGTATGCGTGTATAGGCGCACATGTACGCTAACTCTTCCCGTGGCGTAGGGCGTTTCGCTGACAGAAGCGCCGAGTATTCTCGCTTCCGAGGACTACAACTACTTGACTCTGAAAGTGGCCGATGACTAGGTTGAGAGCTCGCTTATTCGTATTTCTCGGTTCCGCGTGACAAAAGTAAATCGAGCATATAATATTGCACAGTATCGTAGGGCGCGCCTCAAGCTCTGTGTAGCATCAGGTACATCCTCTCTGTTATCTCTGACGCCTTCAAAAGGGCGAAGGGTGCGGTGAAAGGATAGAACGCAGAGGAACGCGGAGGAGGCGCCAGCTGACGCTGAGCTAATCGGTCACACGGGTGCGCGCGTTTTCAACACCCTTGGCCGCACAGCGACTCTTTCTCGGACTCCCATCTTCCTCCTTCCTCCCATCCACGCCCGTAAACATGGCCGCGGAGACTATCCCTACCTTTAAGCTCGTTCTCGGTGCGTTCAGACTCAGATCGGTTCGTATTTCGTACGCTGACGGATCCTTTTCAACATTTTTGTCCCCGCTCGCGATCGATCCTGATATCGTCCCTTGCGCTTCACTCGACGCGTCTTTGGATTGGTGGCTTTGGATACATTATTTGCTGAACAGTTGGTGACGGTGGCACCGGCAAGACGACGTTCGTCAAGGTAGGCGATCGTTATTTGGGAAACGTGATCTGTTGCTGATCGCCACCGTTCTTAGCGTCACTTGACTGGCGAGTTCGAAAAGAAGTACATCGGTACGCCCGTTTCCATGGCTTTAAGCCGCTTTGAGCGCTTAAGGCACTATTTACTCGTGCTTATACGCATCTACAGCCACCCTCGGCGTCGAGGTCCACCCGCTTTCTTTCACCACCAACTTCGGCACCATCTGCTTCAACGTCTGGGACACGGCAGGCCAGGAGAAGTTCGGTGGTCTCCGTGACGGCTACTACATTCAGGGCCAGTGTGGTATCATCATGTTCGACGTGACGTCGCGCATCACGTACAAGAACGTCCCCAACTGGCATCGTGATCTCGAGCGTGTTTGCGAGAACATCCCGATCGTGCTCTGCGGTAACAAGGTTGACGTGAAGGTTCGTGCCACTTGTATAAACCTCGCACCTTGACAGCTCTGACCGGACATCATAGGAGCGCAAGGTGAAGACTGCGGCGGTGACCTTCCACAGGAAGAAGTCCCTCCAGTACTTCGAGATCTCCGCCAAGTCCAACTACAACTTCGAAAAGCCCTTCCTCTGGCTTGCGCGGAAACTCGTCGGGTGAGTATCGCTCGCCACAGTGATTCTCGCCCTTTGTCACTCACGCGACCTGCCTAGCAACCCCACCCTCGAGTTCGTGGCTGCGCCCGCACTCGCGCCCGCTGAGGTTACGGTCGATGCTGCCCTTATGGAGCAGTACAACCGCGAGCTCGCCCAGGTATGCATATTCTCGTACGTTCTTTACGGATCATTCGCTGAGCAGCGATACAGGCCGAGGCTGTCCCGCTTCCCGAGGAAGACGACGACCTGTAGATTACGACTCATACCTGCCACCATCACCCTTGTTTTACCACCCTGACGAGCTCAACCTGCTGTTACAAATATATACATCGCACTGCAGCCCTCTACTACGTAGCTGTTTCATCCGGATTCCCCATTTTACCGCTGCCCTTACTATGCACGAGGAGATCGACCAGAAAAATGTGAATGAGAACTTCGGGGCGTGGCGGTCCGGAAGCGCGTCGCGTCGCGTCACCAAAACGCGTCTTGACCGCGACTACCTCCTCATGCTTTCGGCGCCCCCTGCGCATATCATTCACGTATAGAGAGCGTCATAGCACTGTGAGACGCCTGGTCTCAGATCATGTCAGAGACTTCAATTCAAGAGGCCGCAACTCCTGCGCCGCCAGCTGTACCTACGCCCGACATCTCAAGCTCGAATGCGGCCAGTTCATCATGGCTTTCATCCATAGTCGGAGACAAGTGCGCATAACAATGATAGCGCGTGACAATGTATCTCACACGAATAAAGTCAACTATTTGCCGCAGGCGTCGGCCTCATGGTGCGTTGACAGCTTTCATTCCTGCGTACACTTCTTCAATATGACGAACAGCTTCATTAGGGTGCTGGCGTCGGCTTGACACTATTACGACGAGGAGTCACACTTAGCTCAACGGCTCTGCAACGGCGCATGCTCGTATCACTTGAGTTCAACGTCAAGGACCCGTCATATCACTGGTTCTTACACTGGCTCTCACAACATACGAATGCTATGAAGAGTCGAGGACTTGAGCGCACGCACCAGCTTAGCGTTGTAACGGATATATTGAAAAGAGGGAACGGGAGTCAGAACGTCGCGTTCAGGCTCGTGGCCGGGCCTGGTGTGCATTGGTTGAAGTACCGCGGGGCATGGATGCGGGTAAGCATTGCTATCACTTCTGTACGCTCGAATATGAAGCTGATAGTATAACAGGTGAGCAGAGAACGCGAAACGCGCGCTGCACCAGATCCAAGTGGCATGCCCTGGGAGACAGTCACTCTCACAACTCTATCACGCGACCGTGGTCTCTTTCCTCAACTATTGGCCGACGCGCGAGATCTGGCTCTTACCGGCCTAGAAGGTCGGCTCCAGATACATACCGCTTGGGGCTTGGAGTGGCGGCCTTTTGGCAAGCCGCGGAGGAAAAGACCGCTCGGCAGCGTTGTGCTTGGTGAAGGCGTTGCCGAGAAGGTCATGAACGACGTTCAAGCTTTCTTGGGGCGGAGACAGTGGTACGCCGATCGAGGTGATTGACTCATAAGCTCTTACGATATGTCGTATACTGACTGCGCGTACAGGCATTCCCTATCGACGCGGCTACCTCCTTCACGGTCCACCCGGTTCCGGCAAATCTTCCTTCATCCAAGCCCTCGCCGGCGAACTGAACTACGACATTTGCCTTTTGAACCTCTCCGAACGCGGACTGGCTGACGACAAGCTCACTCATCTAATGAGCAACCTCCCAGAACGCTCGATAGTCCTAATCGAAGACGTCGACGCCGCATTCAACAAGCGCGTTCAAACGTCCGCAGACGGATACCAGAGCAGCGTCACGTTCTCCGGATTCTTGAACGCGCTGGACGGTGTTGCGTCCGGGGAGGAACGAATCATCTTTATGACGACGAACCATCCGGAGAGGTTGGATCCTGCGCTTGTCAGGCCCGGTCGCGTCGATATGGATGTCCTCGTCGACGACGCATCACCGGCGCAAGCACGCAGACTATTCGACAAGTTTTACGAAGGGAACGAGGACGTCAAGGTGCTCGGCGATGAGCTTGAGGGTTTGGTCAAGGATGGGGTGGCACATGGTCGGAGGATCAGTATGGCAATGTTGCAGGGCTTCTTCATTCGTAGCGACGTGAAGGAGGCGATAGCGGAGACACGGACATATTTGTCACAGACTGATGGGGCATCTTCATGATGGGGACATATTCACCACAATATTATTATCTCTTCTAATGAATTCGCTAGTTCGCGCGCGAAACGATAAAGATGGTCTCGATGCGATCCAGGTACGCCATTGCCCGAGAGAGCGCAAGCAAAGATATCCAATCCACGCGCATGCGCGTTAATTAAACCATTTCCATTGCCGATACCTCGGGTATGAACGTTTCACAGATGCATCCATGTTACTCACGGACTGTTACAGCAGTACATGCGATCGTAACAGACCGTAATGCCCTGTATGTGGGTCTCAACGGCGCCATTATGATATGGCGATGGAGGACTCGACATGAGAGAGATTCGTCAGTTGTCATGGGCGATATCAGCCGGCGACGGCAAGGTATGTATTGAAGATTGTCATGACGAGTCTGGCGATAAGGGCTCGCCCGATGACTTCATCATTCATCTGGGTTCGGTAGTAGCAGCGCGAGACAATATTTGATGACGCTTATTACATGTCGCGCCAGAACCTCGGGTTGTGAATTTGACCTTTCCTTGGATGACGGTCAGACTGCAGGTTTCTTCATCGTTCCTCAAAAGTGGTTATGAGTCCATTCAGGATGATTGAATGCAATGTACAAGTTGAAGACCGATGTAAGACAATCTAATATTTCACGACCGCGTTACATATACTCAATGCCTGTGATGTCTCGATCACCGCCTTCGTTGTAGAATGTTTCCAGCGCATGATCCATAGTTCCATCTTTCTCCTCGCGAACATCGACCTCCGGGAGTACGTTTGACAGCAGCTTCACAAACACTGTCGCGTACCAGCGTGAGCGAAAGACGATAGACTTCAACGGATGGCCGCAGGCTGCGCGATAGTGTGCGATACGGGTCAATGCGACGAAGAAGAAAGCTGCCTCGGGACCTTTCGTGTCGAAGGTCAGGCTCGTGATGTGCAACTGCTTGAGGCTGGTGAATGCAGTAGGCGCTTCAGTGGAAGAAGGTGAAAGAAGCAGCGGTGCCAAGCCGCGGAAGTTTGACCGAGATACATGTATCGAGTCCAAGTCAGGGAGGTACGTGTGCAGGGGGAACCAGTCCGCTACCCGCCCCAAGGCGAACCAATTTATGTGCGCCACATCGAAACGTCTTGCGTGCCTCGCAGCTGGTAAGCTGAGGATTGTATGTACGACCGACGTTATCCTAGCGCGGTGGGCCTTAGGTGGCCACGCGCCTGATAGTGCCAGGGACAAGCGAGGCGTACCGCCGCGCACAGATGCTCCTAAGACGAGACCATCCGTATTAGCTCCACAAACTCTGACTGAGACTGACGAGAACGTGTCGGGAGTGCCGTCCTTCGGTTCGTGGCTGCGATAGTGAGCCACGAGGCCATTGCATAACAGCGTTACGTCGGCCTGGAGCGCCTCTCCGAAATCGCAAGATAGGTGGATGCGAGTATTAATAGGGATACGTAGGTATGCAAAGACGAGCGCCGACATCCTCAGTGTAGCATCGCCTCTTATGCAAAAGGTGCGCAGACACGGTAGATCGACTGAACGCAGATCGTATGACTGGGAGGATCCGTCGTTCCATAAGAGGGTCGCGTCAAGGACAAAATGTTGCAAGCCGGACATGCATGATAGGCTATCGAGGAGGCCATCTATGTCTCTCCATGCCATACACCAGGTAAGATCGAGAGACGTCAGGTTTGCGCGTAATATGGTATGTTCGAGGGGTATTTCCGTACCCTCCATCCGAACACGACGGAGACTTTCCGGCACCCTTCCTCCGAATAGACTAGTCGGTAGTATGAGATCGTCGAAACCATCATCAATCAAACAAGACCAGATGAAGTCTTTCAACGATGGAGCCGGATGGGCAGATAGTATGTCATATACACGGCGGCGTAGGTCTTCCTCAACTGGATCATAGGCCATCTCAGCTTGATATTCCGTGTGGAAAGAGATACATCCGATGCGATCCATGTGCAGCATGGCTTGGGCGAGTGCAAGGAAGGATGTGGGCGTGCTCGTATTGCCGAGCTCTATGGCCACGATGGTAGGAAGTGGGTGCGAGCGCTTCATGAACGCATCTACGCAGTCCGCGTTGTGCCGAAGTGGCACGTGCGCCCATAGCGCTCTACACGCGGGACTGAACGCCGCCTCGCGCCAGAATCTGCACACTTGTGAGACGGCTATGGACACGCCAGGCAGATATTCGCCCCGGTGAGAATAGGTAGGATCGTGAATGATGACTTTGATGACAGTCGTAAGAAGCTCGGTAGGAAGGCGCGAGATGGGCGATGGTTGTGCGTTCCTCTCTTCAGTCTCCATGATGATGCGCGCAAGCGGAGAGTCACAAGGGTGGATTGGTCGTTCTTTTTGAGATCTACAAGATCTGCAGCGAGCTGCGGCTACACTGGTAGAGATCGCTATGAGTTTCGTAAATGTTGTGATGGTGGTGAGAGGCAACCGCTGACGGCGTCCGTAGATGCGGGCCGGCGTTTGTACTTAATGCTTGATGACCAATGATTAATGACTCGGCGGACTTGGTGTTCGGGTCCGATGCCCTGCTACTCGACGAGCATCATCCAGCATCTGTAGACGTATACAGTACACAGTTACGATGTCAGACCCATGCAGACAATGATATACTTTCCGTCGCGTCAATCCGGGTCTACTTATACTAGAAGACGGACAGAATTCAAGTTCTGGACAAGGGTGAATGGTACTACTTGTTGTTTCGTTACAGGATACGTTCCAATAGGTCAGGTACACAGGAGCTCAGTCGTACTCTAAATAATCCACCATCTCATCAATATCACCCTCAGCATCGTCCCAAGCCGCTTCACGTTCCGAGGCATCTTCCACCGTAGGCGAGCAATGGAGACTGATCATCGTGTCCGGCGACAAGCGCTTGAGTGTGCGCGCGAGCTTCTTCGCACCGAAGCAATCGTCGAAGCTGATGGTTTGAAGATGGCGAGGAGGAGGGCGGCCGCGCGGGCAGAGTATATTGCGCAACGCAACGAGATAAAGAGCAGCGCGAGCAGCATCCTGTTCGTTATCCTCTAAGTGCATCCCGGCAAACGTTAGACGTTCCAACCCGGGGAAGAATTCCGAGTCGTGTAGGGCCGAGAGGACTCCATGGATTGCGCCACGAGAAACCTCTATGGTACGCAGTTGGGGCAGGAAGTCCCGTAGAGCCAACCAATCGGACGAGCGGCCCGAGCCATATAGGCAGTTGAGCGAAACGATGAGGAAGTCGGCTTGTGACATGGCAGGGAGAGACAGGATTGCGTTCGCCACGGCGGCAAAACGGCGACGTCCAGCAGCGGTCTGCGCACCGGCGTAGTAGGTAAGGGTGAATTCGTCAGGAATTGAGTTCCCAATCACCCCGCTATCACGAACGGCGTGGATGGTGAACTTCCAGTTGTTCTTCTCCTCCGCGATGGCGATCGTCCTGAACGGCGCTACCAGTTCCGTGCTACCGGCTTGGAAGTGTGTCGTAAGACCTAGACGCAACAGTGTGATATCATGTGCAACTCTGGTCTCGAGCTCTGGGCCCTCGTCTGCTGGGATCAACCAGTCGAAGTCGGATGAACCGGGGGTGAGGTGGATTCTGGCCGTGGACGGCGCACGCAGGTATGCTAGGAGGAGGAATGGCGCAGCGAAGTCGTCGTCTTCTATCTTCAAGACTTTCAATCGTGGTAGGGCGATGTAGCGTTTGTTATCGAGTAGTGCGAAGGACTCTGTCGCGTCAGGACAGAATGTGCTTGTCTCGGACTCTAGTACGAGCACCTCTAGCCCCGGAAGGTGCGAAAGTGTGAGCAACACTTCGTCAATGCCGTCCCATATGCGACACGACCTGAGAACGAGCGCTGTCAAAGATCCTCGAAGGAATGTACTGTCGGGCATTATCTGGCGGTTTGAGATGACGAGGATGCGTAGCGCTTGCGGAACGTCGCCGCCAAACATGTCGGGAGCCAGAAGCGGGGTCTCGTCCATGGGCGGAAGGATGTGTGCGAAGACCACATTGAACCGCGTGAGTAGCGGGGCCGGATGTAACCTCAATATGGCGTAAACCTGTTCATCGCGCTCGGCCTCCTCTGGACTCGGTGGTTCGTCGCGGTCGTACAACTCGGCTAAGTCTATTGTGCCTGCGCGATGCATCGACTGAGCCGCCTCGGCAAGGGCAGGAACTTTGGGAGGCCATGCCGTGTCCCCAAGGTCGATATTGAGCGTGAATGGTAGTGGATCGGAGCGCTCTATAAATGCCCGCGCGCAATCGACGCCGGACCAAATGGGGATATGCGTCCACAACATGCGCCCTCCAGGTCCGAATGCAACCGTGCGCCAGAAACGGCAGACGTGCGAGATTCTGATGGCGAGAATGGCTCGGTCCTGGGACACGCGCACGTCTCGTGCTATGGCATCCAGCACCAGCGAGAGAAGCTCGTCTGGTAGTCGGCTGGCAGGGCAGGCGCTGGACATGTTGAAAGCTGCGAATCACATTAGCTCATCTAATCTGCGAGTTCACACTATCCTAGCCTGCGCACCGAAAGCGTGGGTTAAGTATATTGGTCGAGGAGACGGGAGGACGAGTAGAGCGTTGAGAGCAAGTCTCGTTCAAGTGGCGCGCTTCGGGCCCATATATGGCCCGCATCAAACGATTCGCAAATGCTGCATCGGGCGGCAATATTTGGGGGCAAATGGCATAGCGGGCCCGACGAGTAGAATGTGCAGAGGCAGCGAAGATTGCGGTAAGCTCATAGTTTCGGCCTGACGGTGGTGGTGGTGGCAAGAGGTGAAAAGCTCGCGGTAAGCGGCTGAATTTCAAGGTCTCGGAAGTCCCCCAACCCCGGCGGCATATCGCTGGCAATGAAGGCGTCGCCTCTGAATCCAGCTACATAGCATGGCACCCAAACAGCGTAGGATCAGTACATGAACATGCATGCGTGACAAGGGTGGCTGCAGTTTCTAGCGAGAGCAATCTCGGTTCGAGAATACACAGGCGAATAGATATTACTCGATCAAGGTACTTCCTACGTATGTACACCATCACTACAGGCATCTTCTCTCGTCAATGACCTCGTCTACAAGATCTGAAGCCAGTGATACCATAGCGGCCTGCTTCACGTCAGGGTCGGTAGCGTCGCCCAGCAGGCCTCCGAGTATCAGGCGCTTCAACGGTGAACCGACAGACGCTCGGCGTTCCAGAGTATCAACGACCTCCTTCCAACGAGTCTGTACGCTCTCTGCAGCTGTAACGAGGGTGCGACTGCCACTCATGGGATGTGGACTATCGTATGCGATGAGCATATCGTCCGAGCGCACGACCAAGGTCTCGACGAGATCCTTATTAGCACCTAGCGCGGACAAGAACGGCTGGTGGCGCACGGGCAGCCAGGCAAGTGACAACGTAGTCATAACCGTAAGTTGTTGCAGAACGCGTTCGGCTTGGGATACGTAGTACGCGAGATCCGTTTGTGAGCCCCGACGGCCCTCGGCGAAGGGATGCGCGTGGAGGAAGGTCACATTGCCCGCCTCCATGCGCCGGATGATTTGCGACAGAAAGTGCAGTGGTCCGCGTAAGGTGCTGTCGTACGTACTCCTATGGCTGAGCTTGATGAAAAAGCGTCGCGTGCGTTCCATGTCGGTTGATGCGGTTGAAGACGAAGATGCGAGGCAGACTTCGACATCATAGTCTGGGTCGAAGCTGATGCGATCGATGGATGGGTTCTGTAGGTGGGGCGCAAGAGCGTCGAGTAATGGCAGGATTGCACCACCTCCGACATGTTCCTTTGTGATACGCAATTTGAGCTCCGCATCCAACGGGATGCGTAAAAGCCCTGCAAACGCCAAGGATAAGGGCGGTCCCTCGAAGTGGGCTGCGACGAGACGTGGGAGGTGTACAGGGGGATAAGCCTCATTCGGTGCCACGCTGAGTCTCTCTGGGATGACCCAGCCGAGTTTGAGCTCCTCCAACAGAGGCGTTGCACGCAGAACATCCGCGAGGACGTCGGGTTGCAACTTGATGCTCAGGTCGTAGAGTTGCAAGAATCTGAGAGACGGTGCCGAGAAGGGTATGAATGTACCAAGAATGGCATGCGTTAATGCTGGCGCCGAAAGCGTTAGGCCGGAGGCTCTTGCAGACGTTCGATCCCTTGAGAAGCGCAAGACTTCTAGGAAAGGAAGTTGCGCACCGAGTGCCGGCGTAATGTCCCAATCTGTGAAGTGGTCGTGTCTATGATTGACTGTGAGGACCCGGGCGCGCTGTATATTCTGTTGGGCGAGGTCGAAGAATGTCCTGATGTGATCGGGTCGAAGTATCCTTGGGTACTCTATGAAACCTACAAGGTCCATATCCATGGAGAGAGGCTGCTCGCGTGAGCGAGCGAGGACAGTCTCGGCGGCGAAGGGAAAGATGGGGAAGATGTCGCCCCATAGCCCAGGCATACTGAGTCCAATGTTCCGCCACTCTTTACACACATGAGTGTAGCGTATCCATCCGAGCGTAGGGGGGACGTCCCACAGCCGGTAGGTCGACAGCGTTGCATACTCCTCGTGTTCGCTGGGTCCAGACGGCAGCCGACTCCAATCCGGCCCTAGACATTCTCTAGGGGTATTCGACCGGCGGGGAGAAGTGGTCCTTGAGCTCCCGCTGAAATGCTTGTTCCGTATAGGAGGATCAATCGCGGCGGCAGCTGAGAAAAACTCGTATATAACATCGGTCGGCAGGCGGCGCGTGACAAGTTGTTCGGGTCGTCCATCGCTACCTCGTCTGTCAGAGAGACACCCAAGACCGTGCGATGACGAGCTTACAGTCGCGCAGTCATTGAGGCTATTGATGAACAAGATATTCGACGGTTGATCAGTGTCTGCGCTTGTCGCGGTCGTAGAGGGAGTAAGTAACCCAGCCGCCGGGTCCTTATACCGAACGAGGTGGCCGCATTTTGTAGTACGTCAACATCACGTTCGCTAGATCACTCTTTGGTGTGTTACCAGCCTTCCGGAATGAAGACGGTCTGAAGGGGTCGTGGTCGCAAGCGCGCAAGACGCGTTGATGCGGATGGGAACGCATCAAACCCGCCGTGCCATTTGGTTGTGGTCATAAATATGTTTTGGCGAGAGATACGCGTACACTCGACATACAGTATCATACTATCGATACAGCGCTGATACCTTCACTCAGCGGGCCCAGGTGCACTACCTATCCAAAAGTCCTATCATCGATCACCTCTTCAACCAACATGGCCGCTTCTCGCAGTGCTCGGGCGTCAATCTCTTTGATCGGCGCTCCGTTGCCGCGCGCACCTTTCAGGATCAAGCGTTTCAAGCGTTTACCGCTGTTCGCCCGACGGCTGAGTATGGACACGATATCTTTCCAGCGTTGTCTGCTTTCGGTCTCGTCAAGCTGGATCCACCCTGGAGCGAAGAATCTCAGTCCCAAGATCTCGTTGCCTGCAGCCGACTCTTCTGTATGATAGACCGTGAAGGTCTCCAGCGTCTCTGGGACGAAACAGGACTCCAAGACGCCGATGAACGCCTGGTCGTGCCAGTGTCCAGGCAGACACGATACGGAGAGTGTAGTCAAATTTGACAACTGGCGTAGGAGAGTCGCATACTCGGACACACTTTCCTCTGGATCGCCAGGCTGCTCGAGCGGCGAGTAAGAGCCTCCATGGAATGTTGTGATATTTGCAGGATCCATCCGGGCGACATATCGAGAGATATAGTTCGCCAAGCTTCCGAATTCGCGCTTGATGCCCGCGTTGACAGGTGCTCTCACGAGGAGACGTGGTGTAGGTTCGCCATCCGACATGGGAGAAGACGCAAAACATACGTAATATGCATCCGCGTCCAAAGCTGGATCGACACTCATGTGATCTATCGAGGGATCGCGAAGTCGTGCGGCGATGGCATCGAGGAGCGGCAGGATTGGTTCGTCTGGATCGTCGTCCTGGTCTTGGGGCTGAGCTACGAGACTCAGCTCCGTATCGACCGGCATGTCGAGGAACCTGACAATCTCGACGAGAGCGCGCGACGGCGCTGAAAACTGGGCAGACGAGAGCTTGGGGAGAGTGATAGCAGATGCTATTGACAAAATGGGGTCGGACGAAGTGGGTGTGAGTGGGTTGGGCATGAATGCGAACATTGGCACTTCCATGTCGAAGATATAGCGCATCCCTAGAACGAGCTCCTCTAGCATTGGCGTGGAACGCAATGATTGTAGGAGCATCGTATCATGTAGAGAGCCAACATCTCTGGAGATGATGAGATTCGTAATCTTGATACATCTTAGCGAGGATGTGATCACAGATGATGCAAAAGTGCCTCTCAGGGAGAGGTGCGTTAGCGCTGGCGTGTACGAGGCGAGATCGCGAAGCTCGTCCTTGTCCGCAGGGTCAATGCGCAGAGTTTTGAGGTATGGTAGCTGAGCGCCGCGAAGAAGAGATGGACGCCAGCTATCCTTCAATACGAGAGGGAAAGTGATGGTATGTGCACGCTCGATTTGCTGCTGCGCAACATGGAGGAACACAGACACTCGGAGCGAGGACGGTGCCTCACGTAGCCGTCCAAATGCCCTGCAAGCAGCATCCATATCCAACGATACAGGGCCATCGCGGGAGCGAGCAAGGGTCTCCTCGACGACGTGAGGAAGCATGGGCAACACGTCGCCCCATAGTCGAGCCAGGCTCAGACCGACGGCTCTCCAGTGCGCACACACGTGTGTCAGCGACAACCATCCTAGTGCGAGCTTGTGGGATGGAAGCCAGCCGTTCACGGTCGCATAACTCGATTGATTGTACTTGTCATTTTGCAGGACTGGTTTGGATAGTTGAGTACTCCAAGTAGGTGCTAGCTGCGCCAGATGTTCGGTCGACATAACAATGCCAGGATGGTCTGACATGGGAGGATCATAAGTTGCACAGACTTCGTACAGTTCGCATAGGACATCATTCGGCAGCTTTTGCACAAGTGACAGGTGATCGGGCGCCATATGTGTACCGCCGGCGGGTGGACTCGAGATGAGGTTGGCACTGGGGATGGGCCAGGCGCGATACCCGTAATGGTGGTAGTCAGCGGCTAGGATGTGATCAGGCGCCCAGCGCTGGTCGTGGCCGCGCGAACTCGCACCCAGGAAGGGCAAGCCGGACTGCGATCCAAGTACAAGTCCGGGAAGCTTGTAAGTTCCATCGCGCAGATATGCAAGGATGAAGTTGACCGTAGATCTCCTCGCGCTCTTCCCCGCCTCGGACGACAGCGAGAACAGGCCACGTTGTTGAGACCGTGAAGGATGTACGCGGTGATGATAAATGGCTTGCCAACGGCGACGCCAGGCGACGCCGAAGTTGACGCTGTTCATTCGGCACGACGGGCCGAGGGTTCCGTCAGCACGTCGGTGTCACGCAGAAGACCGCGAAGGACGTCCATGTCATGTTCGCTCAAGCGCTCCTTTGGCACGCTGCAGCTGTACAAAACTTTTCGGAATGGAGGACAGTGAAAACGTGGTCACAAGCTCACATTCCGCGTTGATGCCGACAGAAACGCATCAAATCTACATGAATATTCTCACGAGAGGCTCGCGTACACCAATATTCACTATGTACCGTACATGTTCTGTCCTTATATGGCCCATGCTCTCACTCAGAGCGCCTGGGTGCCCTAACCCATCACAAAGTCCTCTCATCGATCACTTCTTCGACCAACTTTGCTGCTTCGCGTAGTGCCCGGGCGTCAACATCCTTCATCGACGCCTCATCGCTGCGTGTTCCTTTCAGAATCAAGCGTTTCAAGCGCCTGTCGTTGTTTACGCGATGGCCGAGTACGGCTAGGATACTTTCCCAGCGGCGTTTGCCTTCGATCAAGGCGGGCTGGGCATCACTGGGAGAGAGACCTATTTGTGGCCGGAGCTTGTCCGACGCAGTTGCCCGCGCATCGTCCGTATAGACCGTGAAGGTCTCCAATGTCTCTGGGGCGAGGCATGATTCCAATGCGCAGAGGAATGGCTGATGGAGGGCGGGCTGGCACGACACCGAGAGTGCGGTCAAACTCGGCAATTGGTGTAATAGAGTGGCACAGTCCTGGGGTGCGCCTTCTGTTGCCGGTCCACGGGACTGCTTGGACGGGCATTGGCATGAGCATGCGTGAAACGTCGTGATGTTGGTGGGTTCCATTCGGACAAGATACTGCGACAGATAGTGCGCTAAGCATTTGAATTTGTCATTGATGCCGCCGTAGACACTCGTCCTCAGGAACAATCGTGCCGTAGGCTCGCTATATGCATCGGCTGACGCGAGACAAACATCGACATTTAAGCCTACTGCGATGCTTATGCGCTCCATACAGGGGTTGCGCAGGCGCGGAGAGAGGGCGTCGAGAAGCGGCAGGAGCGACTCATCTGAGTCGTTGTACTGATACCGCGGTATAAGGTTCAGCGACATGTCGGTCGGCATGTCGAAGTTCTTGATGATGTCGATAAGAGCGTGCAAAGGTGCGGAGATTTGGGCATACGACAGTTTAGGGAGAGGTATAGCAGAAGTTCCTGGCAAAATGGGGTTGGATAGGATGGGTTTGAGGGGGGTGAGTGCCCGCCCAGAAAATTCGTAGCGCAACCCCAGTACGAGCTCCTCTAGCATCGGCGTGGAACGAAATGATTCTAAGAGCGTTGTATTGCTCAGAGGCCCAACGTCTTCGGAAACAAAAAGATCAGTAATTTTGATATACCTGAGCGACGGAATAATCAAACACGGTGAGAAGGTGCCCCTGAGGTCGAGGTGCATCAGCATTGGTGCATGCAATGCGAGGTCGCAAAGCTCATCCTCCTCATTCTCGATTGCGTCGATGCGAAGTGTTTCGAGGTATGGTAGCCGAGCGTCGCGGAGAAGAGATGGAGACCAACCATCTCTCAATGTGTGAGGGAAAGTGATGGTATGTGCACGCTTGATTTGCTGCTTTGCAACGTGGAGGAACACAGACACTGGAAACTCCGACGACAACATCTCAGGTAGCCGTTTAAGCGCCCTGCAAGCAGCATCCATGTCCAAGGATACGGGGGCATCGCGGGAGCGAGCAAGGATGTCCTCGACATGGTGCGGAAACATGGGCAATATATCACCCCATAATCGAGCCAAGCTCAGGCCGACTACTCTCCAGTGTGCGCATACGTGTGTCAGTCGCAACCAGCCTAACGAGAGGTTGTGGGATGACCGCCAGTTTGTCCAGGAGCCAATGTTCCACCGGTCGTACAGGCCATTGGGGAGGACACTCTCGGACGATGTACACCAAGTGGGTGCCAGCTGCGTCGAACGTGCGTCTGGTCGAGTCAATCGGGAGGGAGTGTTGTCCGACAAGGGAGGATCGCCAGCTGCACAGAATTTGTATAATTCGCACAGGACGTCGTTGGGGAGCTTTTGCGCGATCGCGAGTGACGGATGATCGGGCGCCATGTTTGTATCGTCTGGGGTGGACTTGAGGTGAGGTTGACACTAAGGAATAGCGGTAGTCAACAACCAGAGTGTGCTTAGACTCCCAGCGCTGGTCGTGGCCGCGCGAACTTGCAACCCAGGCCAGGAAGGGCAAGCGCGCGGGGCTGCGATCCAAGTACAGATCCGGAAAGCTTGCACAAGTTCACACAGGTCACTGCAAGGATAAAGTTGGCCGTGGGTCTCCGCGCGCCATTCCCCGCCACAGATGACAGCGAAAACAGACCACGCTGTCGAGACCGTGGAGGCTGAAAGCAGTGAGGGTGGATAGCTCGCGACAGGCGACGTTGTTTGGCGTTGCTCATTCGGTACGACGGGCCGAGGTTCCCATCAGCGTGTCACGCAGACGCGAGCGCGCGCCTGAGCTCGACGCGCTCTTAGCCCGCTCCACCACCACCTCTCCTCGCACACTCCCAGTCCACACTTCATAATGGGTCGCTTAGCCGAAATGCAGCGCAAGCTGCTCGAGGTACGAGCTCCCCCTTGTATCCGAAATGAAACAAGAATACACTCGCTGAAGCCGCGCGTTTCTGTCAATCTAGCAAATGATGGGCCCCGAGGCCATGGGCGTCGCGGACGCGAACATCACCTGGACGGACGAGAAGGTGTGCCGGAACTTCCTGTGCGGAACGTGCCCGCACACGCTGTTCACCAATACGGTGCGTTACCCCGCCCGCGCCCGCGAGAGCAAGACCGCGGCGCGTAAAGTAGATGTGTTCATGTTTGCTCACGCGCGCTTTGTTTTCTCATTTGCATATTGCTGTGCTGTCTTCTCTTGACGCTCTTCCCGCGCAATCACCTCCTATCTTACCGTGGCGTCTGCCTATCGATTGGAATGACCTAGAAAATGGACCTGGGAGCTTGTCCCAAATCACACACGGAGCGGTTGAAGACCGAGTTCGACGCAGCGCGTGCGAAGGACCCGAACGATCCCATATTCCAGAAGTTCCAGACTGAGTACGAGAACAACATCTTCAGCTTCGTGGACGAGTGCGACCGCCGGATCCGCACCGCCCAACGCAGGCTGGAGAAGACACCCGAGGAGAACGCCAAGACGACCAATTTGGTATGTGTATACGGGACGGATCTGTCACCAGACAAGCGAAGCTTATACAACAATCCCAATAGATGCGCGAGATAGCGGAGATTGAGTTGGCCATTCAAGGTGGCACGGAGAAGATCGAGACGCTCGGTATGTCCTCCCGTTTCTTCTGGCGCTCATATTCGCTTATTTATCCGCGTCTGTTGTCCAGGTGAGCAGGGTAAAGTCGACGAGAGCATGCGCGAGATGCAGGCTATAGAGGCGCTCAAGAACGAGAAGGGAGAGAAGGAGCGCGAGCTGCAACAGCTGACCGAAACCAGCGGTGCAAGCGGACACCAGAAACTGCGCGTGTGCGACGTTTGTGGCGCGTATTTGTCCGTACTCGACTCGGACCGGCGTCTGGCGGATCACTTCGGTGGAAAGGTGCAGCACGCTCTCCCGTCTCGTCCATCTCGTTCTCTTCCCGAGAGTACATGTGCTGTTCTCACGTATCTCTTACACGAACTTTACCAACTTCGCATCCATCACATGGTTACTGACGCCGTCAAAACACGCAGATGCATCTCGGATACCACGAGCTGCGCAACATGCTCGTCAAGTTCAAGGAGGAGCGGCAGAAGAAGCAATCATCCGGCGGCGGTGGCGGTGGAGGTGGCGACGGCGGCGCACCACGGGGCGGCGGGGGTGACTACCGCGACCGGGACCGGGGTTACGGCGATCGGGGATACGGGTCCCGATCTGCATACGAGTACGCATCATTTTCGCCCTTTCCCCTGCGCGCGGTCTTTTGCCGTGTCGTAAACCGTTGCTGTGGACGACGTCACTGACGCGTGTTTACCTTGCAGCAACCGAAGAGGCGGGGATAGGGAAAGGTCGAGGTCGCCGAGCAGGAGGCGGTACTAGGCGTGTGTGTGTATTAGGCTTTCGTCCTGTATCGATATTATCGTGTCTTGTGCTTGTGACTGTGCCGTGTGCTCGAGGCCGTGAAATGCAATCGATATGCCAGTTTTATGCTTTGTGGCTAGCGGAGGCATTGTCCGGGCGCAGTCGCGGCTCGCGGGTCGTTTGTAATTTTCAGGCTATGCAGCGATGATTGGCCGTGGGAGGGCTCGGGGATGGCAAGCACGCGGCTTTGGAGCCTCTAGTACGCGGCGCTCACGTTGTGTCGACCAGCGGGTTGGAAAAGAAGATCGAGTTACTTGTAGTTCGACCTGAATCATCTGAGAAGCCACTCTTGCCACTACCCTACCCTCGACTATGGAAGACGACCCGTTCGGGTTGAATGCAGCGGCGGGCACTTCGATGGATTTCACGATGGACGCGCTCGCGGCCTCCCAGGATCTGTTGAACGCGTTCACCAAGGACATGCCGGCGTCACCGGCCGCGACGAGCAACACCTCCTCCTCGCACTCGGCAATGTCCTCGCCCCAGATGCCCGGCCAGGCGCCCTACGCGGCCTTCGGCACCGCGCTCGACGACCGCTCCCGCTCGGCATCCTCCGCATCGCCCAACCACCCTACCACAATCGCCCCGGACCTCCTCACTCCCGCATCCCTCGCCTCGGGCCCTCCCACGGGCTCGCAGGCTTCCTACACCATGCCGCCCTCGACATCGGCCTCCATATCTGATAGCCCCCGCGGCGTCCAGGAGCCACAAGAGGGCCCGCATCTACTCGCTGTTGGCGACATGCTTACGCAGTACGTGTGAACACTTCAATCAGATGTCATACAAATCACTGAATGTAACTCTATGTATAGAATCATGAACACTGCGAACAGTGCACGGGAAGCGTGCCACACTAACCAAGCCGGTGTCGCCAACGTCAAGGTCGATGAGCTACGACGAACGATCCACGCGGTCAGCAGTCTTCTCCAAGGACTGCGCTTAGCCGACGGCCTTGCATCGTCGCCTCCGACGCTGCAGCAGCTGCAAGCGCTATCACAGTCATCGCAGCGAACGACGCCGCCCCGGCGACCCGGCCCGCATCCTCTCAGCAGCACGAGTGAGAGTGAGAGCGGATTGAGCGAGGGCGAGAGCCGAAAGCGCTGTGCGACTGCCGCGAATGAAGGCGCCCCACCACCGAACGAGCGTGTCCCAAAAGCGCTCAAACTGGAACCCACGGATTCGGGCGACCTCGTCGCCGCATCCGCCAGTCTCTCCTCGCTGCCAAGCTTCAGCGCGCCACCGACAGCGGCGCTTCCGCCCCAGTCGCAGTCGCAGCCCGTGCTCGGCTCTTCGGCGCCTGCCAGTCGACCGCAGAGCAGCCACGGCAGCTTCGCGAACTTCCATGGCGCGCCCAACTTTGGCGCCGCACCGCCCACTGGGGTAGGCGTACCGCTCAACATGACCGGCGCTCGGAGTAGCTTCGACTTCGCACCTCCTGCAGGCGCTCCGTCTTTCGCACACGATCCATGGTCACAGCAACCTGGAGGCGTGACAGCGGCTGCAGCTGCAGCAGCGGCCGGATTCGCACCACGACACGGCGCATCTGGTCGGGGAAGCTTCTCTGGAGGTGTCGCTGGTGATCCATTGGGACTTGCCAACATCAATCTGGGCCCGATTCCTGGTGGCGTGAGCCTCCCGCTGGGCGGATTGGACATGCATTCCGCACCCGGCTTCCCGGCCCAGAGCCGATTGGCGAACGGTCGTTCAAACAGCTTCACAGCTGGAGGCCCGGGTCCATTTGCTTTCTCCGCTGCAGGCGGTTTAGACGATCGGATGGATGGTCAGCGTCCGGGCACACGAGGTGGCGGCTCACCGAGTGACGACGATGATGATGACGAGGAAGAGGATAGATATATTGGGAGGTTCTATCGCAACCGCGGAGGCAGTGATAATACCAGCCACCCCGGCAGCGTATCACACTCAAACTCGGGCAGCTTTGCGTCAGGCATGCGTCGGAGACCTGGTGTAGAAGCTCTGACGAGTGCGAACGGGAACGGTAGCGCGAACGGCGGGCAGGCAGGGAACGAGGTTCCGGTTGAGTACAAGGCGGAGGTCGATCGCGTATTCTTCGAGTTCTTGAACAAGATCTGCTCAAACTGTACGTGTCACTCTTCCGTCTTTCATGCATCGACTGACACTTGACTGCAGTGGATGCAACGGACAGCAAGGGTGAACCCATCCACCAGACGCTCATGGCCAAGAAGATGCAACGACTGGACGAGTCGCCCGACTTCAGACCATTCAAGTTCCGCATCCAGGCGTTCACGAATGCATTCTTGGAGGAGCTTGCCAGGCAGGGCTATCCAGAAGACAAGATCCCGATGAAAAAGGTGCGTCGACTGCTTCATCTCGCCATGACAGCTTCCATCCATGCCCTTTCCTCGCGACTCGCGCGCGCCATCTATCTCGATTACCCACCCCTTAATACTTGCCGCGTTCTTCACACGTCACATTATACTCACATCCTACGGCTAGATCCGAAACTACCTCTGGAACTCGTCCTACATCTCGCGCTTCAACGAGGACGGGAAGAAGGCCAAGTCAAAGGGCAACCACATCTGGAACATCGAAGCCAAAAAGACGTCCGAAAACGGCGGTCAGACGTGGGCCTTCCGCCCGTTCCATCGCAGGCTCGCAGGCGGACCCCCGGGTGTCGCGTACGTTTATATTTATTGCATCTTCTATATACATACATGGATATATATACTAATACGTCGTACGTGTAGATACGTGGGCTTGAAATGGAGCTGGTCGCCGCGCATCTGGGACCCACAAGCGAGCAGGGCGAACATGCCCGTGCAGTTCAGCTCGCCGTCATTGCCACATTGGCTCAAATGGACTCCGACGGGGGAGACGCTCGAAGGTGTCCCGCCAACAGACGCCCAGAGTTGCGATGTGACCGTCGAAGCACGCGTACGTTGCCTGAACCCTTCCCTCGCATGCTATACGAGTACTAACACGACGAAATCGCGAATAGTTCACGCAAGATGGAAAGGAAGAGTTCCTCGCGCAGACGGTGCACATCTCCATCGCGCCCATGAGTAGCGTAGATATCACCGCTTTCGGCGGCCCGCCTTCGCGGAGGCCAAGTCTGAGCCTGCTGGGTGGTCCAGAGCGTCGCATCCAGAGCGAGAATATCATACCGCAACGTCCGCCGCCGCTGCCCCGTACGATCACAGCGGCAGTCGCGCCGCCATCGCTCCCCCATGGCTTGTCTGGGCTTCACCAGCAACAACCACCTCCAATGCCAAGCAGTAGCCACGACACGCAGGTCATGCAGGTGCTAACGACGGCTGCGCAGCGAGTGGCAGCCGAAGCGCATGTCGTGCATCCAGCGGCATCGGGCGAGCTGCAGGCACTGCAGAAGCAGCAGCACGTCCTGACCGTGACTGCGCAGGCGGTTGACAATTCCGTCTCGACGACGGGCAGCATCGCGGCGCAGCCCGGAAACCTTTTGGCTTCGACGGCGCAGCAAGTCGTGTTGAGTGCTGCGCGGCAAATATCGGGCGCGGGTGGGCAGCAGGTCACGGTGAACGAAGTCAGTATGGCGACGCAGAGCGCGGTCGCGCAGGCTGTCGAGCTCGTCGGGCCGATGTCGAATGAGGTCGATGTCCTCCGGACGGCGAATACGTTGCTTCAGCACAACACGGCGCGTCCGGATCCGTTTGCTGGTGGTCCTCCGATAGCCGCGAGCGGGAGACCAGGGAGCAGCCGAGGAGCTGCGTTCGCAGCTGCGTTGCCGACAGTACAAGAGTTCAACCCAGCACTCGGTCCGGGAGCAGGTCCTATACCGCTACCCGATTTGAGCGTCGGCATCGGGTTCGCCGGGCATTGAATACGCGACCTACTGTTCAGCCTTCGCATCGGCACTTCGTTCTTGCTCACCGTTTCTTGTCGGGCCTCGTTCGCGCTTTCGCCTCGCACCGTCCTCTTGCTGCTCCGTCCGCTTTATGCCCTCGCATCTAATGTGTAGCATCAACATCGCACTCCACTCGAACTTCGCACGCACCATGACTGGTCCCTCGCCTTGCTCCGCGCTCCACCTCCATGCCATCAGCCGCCCGCGACCACCCCCATCTCTCTCTCCCATCCGTCCGTTCTTCCTCCCTCTTATACCGCTGCTTCGCCGCCCGTCCTCGTGCCTCGCTCGCTTTGCATTCGTGTCCAAAGTCTTGAAACCCGGATCGACCACAGAAGAACCCCAGATTTTACTATCGTGACCCTTGCGCCCAACCCAAATCCTGAACTGTAATTAGACGTCGACTCTTCGTTTCGGACCGTTATCTGCTGCACCCACCCTTGTTCTTTTTCTTGCCTTCGTACCCGTGTATTAGTGACCCCGTTTCTTTACCGCCGGTCCTAGCGGCCGGCGGCACGAATTCATATCATTATCCACTCCGTCGACGCGGGTCTTGAAGATGAGATGAAGAGAAGAAGATATAGTGCCGCAAGCTGGGTTCAGATACCGCTGCCAGAATATGAGAGTGAGACAGATCGGTCCGTATGGTCGACGGTCATATAACAGCCAGAAACAGCCAAGAAAGCAGTGATATACGGCAACGGGGCGAAGCAGGGGTCAGAAAAAGGCTCCAATGGCGCTGTGGGCCCCGCCCTTATATGCGCCGAAGACAGGGCGAGGGCATCAGTGCGGACAACCCTGATCAGCAAGAATTGGGGGCGTTGTGCCATGGCGCTGTTCTGGACCCCCGCGCGTGCAAGGGGACTTATGCGAATGAGCGCATCGATGAGGTCGGCTGGGCCCTCCCGGGCCTCTTTGCGGCGCTTGGGCGTGTGGGTGCGCGTTTGATTTGAGGGACTGTTCGTGTGTGAAGCGTGATCGCGGGTTGCTTCCCGTATTTTTTTCTTTCTCTTTTGGCGTTTATTGCCTTCTTGGAGGGTCGGAGAGGTGGTGCGGAAGGTGTTCGGCGGGCAGGTGGTGTCGAGGTACCGCAGGTGGACGATATGAACATGAATTACGTCCGGGAGATATGGGGTACTCTGTACAGTAAACAAGGTACGCCGGCGGCAACCGAAGATCACAGTACACTCGGTCAAGCCACTCGATGCGGCGCCGAATGATGTTACCTGGCGTAACTTCTGTACCTCTTTCAGTCTTCGCTCGGAAGGCCAACGGTACTGGCCTCGCGATATCGTAGCCACCGCATACGCAATGGCTGCTGCCCTCCCAGGTCTACAGGAATCCAGACTCCGCGGCGCAGTATGCTATCGAGGTGGAACGGTTGAGCCAAAAGTGTGCAGGTGCCAGGGGCAGGAGAAGCGGATGCTGGGCGCCTTATGTCCGTTGAGATCCGGCGGCATGCTCGAGGAGCCGATCATCGTGCGGCAAAAAGGCCAAGCTGCCGCGGATGTTGTCTGTCTCCGCCCACCATCGAGTGTCCGAACAACAAGGGCCTGTTTCTACGCTCGGAGACCCCGTGCATGGTAATCATTGGATTGCGACATCGCCGCTCAAAGCTTCGGGAAGAGTTTGGTGTGAATGCTTCAGAAGCTTAGGTGTGGCCTTACGGGACCGCCGTGGGCACGCTAATCTCGTGTATTCGACTCTGCTCTAGCCCTCCAGGCCCTGGATAGCGTCCTCGATCCATTCACCTGCGTCCTGAATAGCTTACGGTCCCAAAAGTAAGTAAGCTAAGTATTACTCACTAGCGTTAGATTGACACTGACGGGTCCCGTAGTGATCGCGATGTGCCCGCCCCACTTTCACTGGCGCAAACTCGGCCGCAAGATACTCTCTAGACAATAACTCGCCCTCTACAACGCGCGGACGAATGCTCCCAGACTTGGCCAATACCCGTCAACTTCGGCTCACGAACTTCCTACGCTGGCTCCGTCCTGAAACGCCGAACTGCCATACCGCCAACGGACGCGCTCGCGGTTCTATTGCATCACTGTCCACATTCTGCGACATCGTCTCTTACATCTGCCTACAGGCACTTCAGTCATCCTAACGGCTTTGGCTTGATCTACGGCTTGGCTGCATTGAAGATGCTCGCCGTCTTCTGGAAGGATTCACTGCTTGTGCCCAATTCCTCACGCGTCGGCTCTGCGGTTGTTGACTTAGACATGGCCAATATCAATGGTAGACCATCTTATGCGTCAGTGCTCATTGCCGACGTATCCGTGCGCCTTTTAAACGATTGATAAGGACTGGGGGATCGAGAGGAATATGATGGCCGAGTATCCATCGTCGAGGACATGACGTTCACGGCTGCTTCTCAAGTAGATTAGTGGTCCCCATAGCTTATATATGCATGGGGTGTAATCTTTTATGCCATCTTCCGACGTACTTAGTTACAACTTCATAAGCCATGACGCATGATATAGAGAGACAAGATGACGCCGGGCGGGAAAGCAACTCGGGTAAGGCTTTGGCGTGAGAAGTATCAGGGCCGATGAGCCGAACAGCGGTTTGACTGATGGCACCTTGGTGGCACCCGTACGACCAACTGCTATTCTAAAGGACAGTAGCCAGGCTTCCAACTCATGACTCTGCTACCATATGACACGTTGCAAAACTCCGTATGCACGAGACGACGCCGGCTTCTGCCGATTCAGCAGTAACTCGATTGTGGCCTTTGCTACCGGTCCATAACGACCAATGAACATCTGATCCTACCAACTTCAACCATTACCACCACCTCGACGACCCGTGCTCAGGCCTCAGGTGGCCTTGTGAGACTCTTCACGATAAGAGGAAGTCGGGCGCTGAGATATAGTAAGTTGGGTCTACGGTCTAGTGAAGTCAGTCCGTTCACGACCAGCCTGTGCAGCACTCCGATGGCGACTGCACGTCTGCCCATCGCGCAGACCTTGCCGGAAGATATTCTGTGCGAGCTATTCACTGTGTGCGCCATACTCGACCCTCCTACACGACGTGATATCGATGGACTCCGTCGTTCTACAAGACTCCTAGCCGGCTTACGACCAGACGCGCCAATGGGGACACTGGCACCGGCTTGGAGTACACTGCCAGTCGAGCGCCTCGAGCGCGACGACGATGACGTTCCCGCACTGGTGTCAACTGGCGGTCTTGCTGCCGACACAACCACTCTTGGATGGATACGCCTGACACATACGTGTGCGCGATGGAGAGCTGTCGGGATAAGGCTGCCACGTCTTTGGGCGGACATCTTTCCAGTCTTACCCCATGCGGCCGATGTCATTCTCGCACGTTCTCGCGACGCCCCGCTCTCACTAGACATGGATCTTACCGGAAGACTCTTCGGGCGCAAGTCAAACCTGCTACCTCCATTCCTCCACTTAGCTCAACAGCATATTGCGCGAGCGCGTATCCTCACCTTCCCTCGGTATCTTGGGACGCAATGGAACCCAAATCTTCTTCGAGACATACAGTTGCCCTTTCTTCAAACACTCCGCATCAGTATATCATACTTGGAAGCCGCACATCCAGACTTTGCACTGCATGCGCCGGCTCTGACCCACCTCATGCTCGACGGCGCCTTTGTACCTTCATTCGTGGGAACATCGCTCAAGTACCTCCAGATTACCCAGAGGGCTAGGGGGTTTGATGCAGTGTCGCTTTTGGACCTGTTATTCTGCGTCCCAGTGTTAGAGGAACTCGTATTGGAACTCTACTACGTGCAAGAAGCAGAAGCTCGCGCATCAGCCTCGTCAACGCCGTTGATCGTCTCCCTCGCGAAGCTTTCATATGCGCAAATCACCGGCACGCCAGATACCCTAACCTTCCTCAACTGTCTCCGCGTCCCACAAACCGCCAGTCTGAGCTTCTTCGTACAGCGTCGGCCCCATCGCCACGGGTCGATACTGCCGCTCCTTCAAGTGCTCACTCCTCGCCTACAAGACTTCTCCATCAACTGCATGAGCTTCAACCCGGGATCTTACGTAGACGTTTGTCTCGCGTCGTCTCGTGCTGGAGGCAGCGAGCCCGCACCGCGTACATTCTTAAGGACCGACTTCAATGGCGTGACCCGTGAGCTGGGAAGTCTCTCGGCTTATCTCGCCCAGTTCTTCACGCGAATGGAACCGTCAAACATCACATCATTTCACGCGGGCTCCTATACGCTCCGCGACATCACACAGGAGAGCGACGACCCTTTCCAGTATGCCAACCTGCTGGATCAACTCTCCGGGTTGACGACGTTATCTTTATCCTGGCTGCCTGCACGCTATCAGCCATTTCTCGTTGCCTTGGGGCTATCTCCCGGCCCTGATACACTGGATACCGTCACCGTCTTTTCAGAAGACTCCCTGGCCGCATACGACAATCACTTCTACGAGCCGAGGATCGTACTTTCAGCGGCAGAAAGTGTGAGCCAACGATGGCAAGACATATTGTCGATGCTCCGCTATCGTGCGGACAATGATAGGCGTCTGAAGCGCTTAGTCCTGAAGGGATTGCATGTCACAAATACAGGCACGGGCTGGACGGAAGCTTGGACAATGCGACGGGTGGCCGATTTGGTTGATCATGTAGTCGACGATAGAACTGAGATATAACACAAACTCTTCATCTTATTGTGGCTTGCGCTCTTTTGACCGAATGTACTACTTACATCCATATGACCCTTGAGATATGATGTCATATTCAATAGCACTTGAAGCAAACTTGAACGCATTCTGCCCGTTGTACCACTCGAGGTGAGTTCAGTGTCGTTAACATCGACAACTCGCGTCGAGTGGGAAGAGGCTTGGGTGGTTGCTAGCGCAGGGCGCCTCCACAGCTCTCGTATGCCTGAAGCCTTAACAAATAGTCACCAAATGCACCTGAACGCCTCGGAGATTACAGATGAACGTTTGAACCAGGATCCAGCTGGATTCGGCGCCAAACCATCCTTCCGGCTCGGATCGACACACGCGCGCGACATGATGATGGCGCTGATCCGCCGCCGCTCTTGATTCACAACCACCACCACCACCCTCTGTGCACAGGTTCTTTGTTGCTAACCTGGGGCAGAGGCAACTGCGCGAATATCGTATACCATTGAGTATCTCAGGCCCTTGTACTACGTTAGCCAGCGCTCGACACGTCTGCGATAGTCGGCACTAGGCGATACAGAGCGCGATGCGCTCCCTGCCCTCGGGCACCACTTCGTGCCGACATATGCGGCAGAATCTTCATTTCACAAGTGAACATCCAAATTGCGACGCAAGGGCGCTATGGCGCCTATGATAGGCACTTCTGCCTCAAGTCCTACTTAGTAGCTTGTCTTATCGCAAGCCGACTAACGGACTCCCTGGCGACCATGCGTGGCGACGAACGGTTAGCTGATGGTAGGCTTACACGAGGCAGATAAAACAGACGAGTCGGCGTTCACAAGAGGCCGTCATTACCCCACTGAATGGAGGCACACGATACAATATCGGTTGGTCCAATAACCCGAGGCTGGCCAAGGTCATGATCAGCGCGACCTGTTTGGATGCTACAGGGCAATCCATACGTTCTATGTTCCGAAGCTGTACATGTTCTCTGTACGTCAACTTTTAGCTTTCATACAGCCTGCATTCATGGATACTTAGCCTACTGCCGTCGTCAGGATGCATTGCAGACCGCCTGGAGGTGACGAGATATATATACGCCCAGTCTAAGACTGGCACTCTAATCCTAACAATATCTACCCGAATGGCGGTGGTCGACCCGACTTATCCTCTCTACCCCATAGCATGCATGCTTGCGGCAGTGCTGTTACTATTGCTCATATTCAGCTGCTTCGTTCGGCGGAGTTACAACCTCGGCGTACTCATTCTTTGCTTTTGGCTCTCGCTCGAAACATTCACCGAAGGATCGGATGCTGTTATCTGGTCGGATAACGCCGACATCAGGCTACACATATACTGCGATATAGGTGCGGTCCTAGCTTACCGTACACTAATGCTCTCTGACGGTCATTCACAATGTAGTCTCGCGTCTACAAACGGCATGCTATGTGGCGAAGCCCGCTGCGACCTTGATCATGGCGCGTCAGTTACACTCGATAGCCTGTTTTCGTCCAGTCGGAAGCCAATCCTTAGCAGCGGTGCGCTTGAGAAGCCATCATAATCCACAACAGAGCTGACACGCACCCTTCTGTAGATACGGACGGACCCTCTGATAGCATATATTCTGGGTATCTTCATACCCGTGTTAGTGGCGGGACCTCTCTGTGAGTGAATGTACACCGGCGTACATTTCTTCTCGCTCACAGGTATTGGTGGCAGATTACATTGTAGAGACCGCTCGATTCAAAGTACTCGAGGGCTTCGGGTGTACGGGGTCTAGCGCGTCCACAGGTCTCAGCATCATACTCGTCTCTTCCTGGTCCGCTGTCTTCCCCCTCATCTCGATCGTCTGCTTCTATCGTGCGTTTCCCAAACACTCGCATCACACAGTGCGCCGCTAACAGTGACCTCAGCTAGAGTCCTATGGACCTTCTATCGGCAACGAAAGGACATCGAAGAATTCCTATGCAGCAGCGGTCACGCACAATCCGACACGCGCTTAAGCTATATCCGACTCCTTGCGCTCGCCAGTATCGACATCATCCTCACCCTGCCTATAGGCATCACCAATGTCGTACTTGTCTTGGTAAAAGACCTCGAGCAAGGCTCTCTTCCCTTCTACTCCGGATGGACAGCCATCCACTCGAACTGGGCCCCCATCAGTGACCCGTACTCGGACATCCGGTCCGGTGGAATGGCCGATCTGGCGCAGTTCTACTTCTCCAACTGGACGTCTCCTGTTCTCGCTTTCGCGATCTTTGGCCTGTTCGGCTTGACGACGGAAGCCCGTGGATCCTACAGACGTATGGTGCACGTCGCCGCGGGTCGTATCGGGCTCCAGAGCAGTAAAGAGC